TAAACCTAACACCAGCGGTATGGGTGGAGGCGGTCCGAGACAACTGAGGGGTATTTTAATAGTTCGAGGGGGAAGGAGGAGTAAGATGTCGTAGGGTAGTCCGTAGGAAGACCTAGAAAAATAAAACAAATGCTAGTTGATGCTCCAGAGTATTTATCTCCGAAGAGTTGCAATCAAAGTCGCAAGCAACAACACCTGTCGTAGGATCGTGCTCGCGGGGGTAGAAATTGCTAGAGAGACCTGTTTAATTTTATTTCGCTATGTAGGACGCACCGGAGATAATTAAACTGACGGCGGAGATAAATTACTCGATGAGTCAGGCCTATTGGCAAAGCTAGGATCGGTTATAATTAGCTAAGTTCGACGCTTTTGAACTTCGAGGGTCGCTGAGATCGTAACGCTAATTCTCTGAGATGGTGAAGTGCAAAACTTCTTTTTCCAGATCTGTATGCTACTTTGTACAATTTATACCACAGGAATGGCTTTGCGGCCGTCCAGAGATAAATAACAAATAAACGCCGTTACCCACAGGATTGCTCAGCACTTGCCTCCGTTATACCATACACCATATGACTCCCTTGCACTCTCACTTGCTCGTTCCAGCCCCTATAGGTCGCCTCGACGCTCCGCCACCTGACCCAAGTGGTCCCATCACTCCATGCGATGCGCCGGTCACGTGCTAATTACCTCCGGCCGCTTGCTCACTGATGCTGACCTCATGGTGACTCATATACGTCCGCACCTTCGGTATCTTGATGGAAATGAGGGGGAGTGAGTGCTGGAGGGTGGGCATGAGGATGACACCCCTCGATAGAAGTGTCCGCAGGCACCGGGGCTAATTCATCTAGAAGTTGCATAGGTTAAGTCACCCTGGAGCTCGTGTTTGCGGAGATAAATCGCGGAATGGGTCTGTGTACGTCTCGGGGATGCTAGGAAGCCCGGAGCTAAATAGAAAAATTCTTTTAGAGCCCATAGAAGCCTAGAGGCATGTGAGTGATGTGTTGAATAAGCTCCGGAGGGCTTGTACAATGTGCTGAGTCCGCGTTTTCGGGGGTCAGACGATCCTGAGGCTTATCACCGGTGGGATTGGATGGGGAGAGGTATAGGAAGGGGCAAGAGCTGGGCAAAGGGTTGCTATGACCGGATGAGGGCAGAGGTGCAAATATTAACCCTCGTTCAACAATTACCTCGTAGAAAGAAATTAGGAGGTAAAGATTGAATGAGGATTATTTGATGTCACCGGCTGGGTTACCGGTGGATAAGGTGATAAGGCGCCAGTTGGGGACTTTTTTTTATGGAATGAGTCTTGGGGCTCGATCAGGCACAGATGACATTTGAGGGCAGAGGAGTTACTTTGTGGCACGGGTGCCACAGAATGCTATATTCAAAGCACGATGGCTATGCTGGAGCGGTGCTGGCACGCGTGAGCATTCAAACTCAGCGAATGACTGCGGCACTCGGTGCAACATGGTGCAGTGACGTGCTGAGGCACGCGTACCGGTGCAAGTGAGTGTGATGTCGTGCTACTGAATGTGATGTCGTGCTACTGAGTGCTACTGAGTGCTTGCATGTGCCATGCGGTGCTACAGATGGGGAACGGTCAAGTTGTATTTTTGTCCAGTACGGTCCGTCATACCATTGTTCTGTTCCCCTGTCTGTTGCCGCCGGCGGCCTAATGATACTCCGAAAGAACACGATAAACGGTCTGTTTCTTTGACAGCCGCTTGCAGATCGATAGACCATCAATTCAGAAAACCACGTATAGTCGGAGTGGGTCGGAGTGGGTGCCAGGGACGTCGGAAGAAGGTAGAGAAGTCCAGATGGTCCGATTTCTGTCTCTCGGGGACTTGAAATTGCTTGTCCGACGTGGTCCGACTATAAATGATTTTCAGAAAGTGGGCCCATCGATCTGCAAATGGCTGGAAACATACTTTGATTAGTAGTATGTGGGTCCCGGTTCACAGTAATACTGTTACACGCACTGCCTCGCATCAGGCGCATGTTTGCCGCACGTCATGCGCCTTCCAAGGCAAACGTTTTTCATCTTGGCTTCGTCTGAGTGTTGCACTGACCTAGCATAATCCCACTACGAAAACTCTGCACGTACGCAGGTAAGGGTGATCACGCTGGACTACAGCATGTCTATAGCATTAATGATGAACTTGGCAGCGTCTTTGGGCCAGGCTCCGAGTCGGTACGTACCAAGCAAACGTCCTCCATCCATGAGAAGTGGCTGTCTCACATCTCGTGGCCCTTTACAGGGTGCAATATGCAATTTTCAGACCTCGATTACGATGTCGTGACAGCGATAGCTGCGCACGTCGAGAGGAAAGATTTGCTCCAACTTGCCCTGACTACACCCGTGTTGTTGAACGTTTGCAGACAACAACTCGTCCGTGCAGTGGACATCTCAGTCTTGGACGTGAGATCAGTGAACAGGCTCGCCTTATTCTGCAGGTTCATGCTCGACAATCCTGAGCGGCTGCCCCTGATACAGTCTCTCAAGATACACGTCTATCCAGGCTACCCTGCTGCTGGTAAATCATGGGTGTTTTTCGAGACCCAACTCGCACCGGTGCTCGAGTCAGCTATTAACATCAAAATGATCTCGCTGTCTTGGATAGAGCCCGATACTCCTTGCCTCCGACAAGCCATTGTTTCCTGTTTTTCCCGCGTTGTAGAACTGGGCTTAGGTCAGGGCTCAAGCCGCCTTGCCTTCATTCATCAGTCACTTTCCCGTTGCAATCCCCGTCTACGCCGAGTTGATCTAACTCTGGGCGGTAGAGATGACTTGGTAGGGGTATTGTCTGCCCTGCAGCCCTGTCAAGATTCTCTGGAAGAGCTGCAGGTGTGGAAGCTGCCCAGAAGTAGGCGTGTTTCGAGTCTCCAGTGGCCCCTTGTTCAATCCTTGACGATAGAAGGACACATTTTCGGCTTGACGTGGCTATATTCGGTGTTCCCGAATCTGCAACACCTTGTCCTGTCTGAATCCATGGAGAGCATAGGATCTGGCTCGGACTCCCCCGTGGAGGATATCGCCGCGTGGAGTTCGCTACGCACATACAAGGGACGGTTGCGCGCATTTCTGTCCCTCGGCGTGACGTGCCGCCTTGCAAAGCTGTTCGTGACCGAGAGTTTTACGGGATTATTCGCCCACCTCCAGGTGCCCATCCTGGCAACGGTCCTCGCGCGCAGCCGGCCTCGGTGCCTCTTTATGAAGATCGTGGACGTACCGGAATACCGCGATTGCTCGTCTGACGATATGTTGGCGCGCCTGTGTGACCCTACTCTTTGGGGGGCGGCTCCTGACTTGGAGTCCCTGCACATAGAGTTCACAGGAGAGTGGTTGTGCGACGTGTTGTTACTGGTGCGTTTTGTGATGATCCCTATATGCGATGGCCAGTCTGCTGATATGGCGCCGAGGCTCGCCTTTGCGACGCCCTGCAGGCAACGCAACTGTCATGTCTATCGCTCGTAATCCTGCTGCCAACCGTGGTGTCCGAACACGAATTCGGCACCAATGTCGCCAGACTCGTAGACGAGGTCCAGGCGTGCATTCGGTCGGGCTGCCGTCACTGCGTCATCTCGAGATTGAAATTTGGTCTCGAAGGCTTGGAGTCCATTGCTCATACATGCTTGAGATGACCGGTGATGGGAAAGCTGGCCCGTGCAAGATAGAATTGGAGGCTGTAGCGTCTGCGTGAACCCGCTCTTCGATCGCGACTGTTTTAAAACTTTTATGTTACCCTCTCACATTTGACAGAAGTGTATGCGAAAGTTGTGCGAAAGAGTATCTTCCGGACTGGGTCAAGGATATGGCCCCGAGGAGGAACAGTGTAAGAGCAAAACGCCAGGCATCCCACCGAGCAAGCAAAACAGGCTGAGCGCCGAGTACTTGAGTAGTAAGACGCATCGCTCGTCTTCCTCCGCACCACGTCCAAATCCACACCAACCAAACCACATCCAAACGTCCACATGTAAGTAGATACGTAGATACACACCACCACCACCAGCACCACAAATAACGAGGTACGCACACGTAAACTAGACTACAATCCGTAAAGCAAACGCAAACAAACGAGAGTGTTCAATCAGCGGGGAGGTCGGGGAGAAGGGCGGTAGGATATCATTGCGCGGTCCGATAGCTCGGCGGCGGCGGCGAGAACGCGCGGCGCGGCAGCTCCTCGGGGCCCGCGTGCGCGGTGTAGAAGCTCGCGTCGCTCGGCTCCGGCGCGTGCGCGTGTTGTGGCGGGAAGTACTGCTGCTGCGGCTGGAAGGGCGAGGGCGAGGGCGCGTACGGAGCGGCAGCGAATTGATGCGGCGACTGTGGATGAACCTGGGGCGAGAAATGCGCCTGCGTAGGCGTCCCCGCCGGGTAGCTCGGCGTCGGCAGCGGGCTCTGGTACGGATTCGCGTACGCCGCGAACTGCGCCTGCGTCGGCGTCTGCTGCTGCTGGTACGGGTACGGGTACGGGTATTGCTGCTGCGGGGGGACCGCCGGGCTCCGGCTGGGGCTGGGGCTCGACGTGGCGGTGGGGTACGTCCCCGAGCGCGGCGTCTGCGGCGGCGGCGGGATCGGCGGCACGACGGGCGGCGGGCCTACAGGCGGGGCGTACTGTCCTGGACTCTGGCCAGGATACCCACCCTGTCCTTGCCCCTGACTCGTATACCCACCCTGTGCATGCCCTTGTCCCTGACTCGTATACCCACCCTGTTCCTGTCCTGCATACCCACCCTGTGCTGGCCCTTGTCCCTGACTCGTATACCCAACCTGTCCCTGTCCCTGTCCCTGTCCCTGTCCCTGTCCCTGTCCCTGTCCCTGCCCCCGTCCCTGCCCCTGATACCCCCCCTCCAGCCCCGGCGGGCTCGCCACCCTCGGCATCACCCCGCCATACTCCCCTCCCCTTCCCCTCTCCCTGTCCCCGTACCCCCCGCCCGCGCCCGCGCCCTCACCCTCGGACTCCATATCCCACGCCACGCTCTCCCCGCTCTCCTGGCGCACCGGGATCCGCCCATCGCGGACCTGCGCCATCGGGTACACGTTCCCCACCCCCCCTCCCATGCCCCCATCCGAGTTGAAGGGGGAAGCGCGGCGATACGCCACCGGGTCCGGGCCGGGCGCGTACCCGACCGCGCGCCCCTCCTTGTCCCACCGCTGGTGCCCGCCGCCCTCCGCGTCGGGCGCGTTGAACGGCACGCTCGCCGTGCTCGCGAACGCGGGGTTCGCGTACACCGGCACCGGCGCCTCGCGCTCGAGCTTCGCTTGTCTGTGCGGCGCGTCAGCGGGGGCGTCCAAGAAAAGTGCAAGGGGAGCAAGAAAAGTGCAAGGGGAGCAAGAAAAGTGCAAAGGGAGCAAGACAAGAAGGGTGGGGGGGGGGGGGGGGAGCAAGCCAAGCGGCAAGAGAACAAGCGATAGCAATTTCAACGCAAAAAAGGCGGAGCAGCGGACGCGCAATCGCAATCGCAGACGCACCTCGCCTTCCTCCGCTCATATATCACCGCGCCCTTGACCTTGCCCATCTTCCAGTATATGTACCACATCGCGCCGACGGTGATGAGCGTCGTGACCGCGATGACCGCGTAGTCGATGATGCGCGTCTTCGTGTCGACGGTGCCGCCTGGGGGGGGGTCAGTATCGCATCGCGGTGGGGAAGGGTAGGGAAGGGGACGGGGACGGGGAAGGAGAGGTGTATGGAGAGACGGGCAGGATGGGTGGGGAGTCAGGAACGGTGGATGGAGAGACGAGTAGGATGGGTGGAGAGACGGGGAAGGGCGGATGGAGGGACAAAAGAAGCGACACGCACCGTCGCTGCTCTGCTCGAGTATCACGCCCAGATACACGGTGATGAACTGCTTCGGGAGGGAGAGGATGGCGGCGATGGAGAAGGTGACGATGCCCATGCCGCACGTGGAGAACACGGCGGTGGTGACTGTTCGCCAATCACGGTCCACCGTTCACCGTTCACCGTTCCAATTCCAATTCCAATTCCCACCCAACCCAATTCCACCACCACCACCACAACACCAACGTACCAGCAACACCACCACAACACCACAACACCAACAACCACCCAAACGCAAGATCAGAATCACCACCCCGCAGGTAAACATCAACCACTCACAGTGCCCGGGGATCGCGCTGAGGCGCGCGACGAGCGCGATGCGGAACCCGCCGTCGCGGACGACCTTGGCGAGGCACGCGTACGAGATCTGCGTCTTCTCGAGCTTCTCGCCGCGCGCGCGGCAGCAGTACTTGAACGCGCTGGCGGGGTCGTCATTAGTATGTGCTAGGATAGGGGGGAAGGGAGGGGAGGGGAAGAGGGGGAAGAGGGGAAGAGGGGAGGGGAAGAGGGGGAAGAGGGGAAGAGGGGGAAGAGGGGAAGAGGGGGAAGAGGGGGAAGAGGGGAGGGGACAGGGCCAGGACGGCACGCACTAGAAGTTGCCGACTTCGCCTACGAAGGTCCCCGCTGCGACGATGGCGAAGCCGATCCAGAGGCCCCAGACGAGGCCGCATATGACGGCGACGATCTCGTGGCCGAACAGCTATCGCATGCAGAGTGCGAGTGAGAGTGAGCATGAGGAGGGAGCGGGAACGGGGACGGGGACGGGGACGCACGGGCGGGAAGGAAATGACGAAGAATATGGCGATGGGGATGAGCCAGCCGAATTTGAGACTGCGGTGCAAAGTGAGGAGAGCGCGCAGACGGGACAGAGACGCCCACACGCACTCGTGCATCCAGTCCGCGGCGGGCTTGAGCCAGTGCACGATCTGCGTGTGGTATATCGTGATCAAGCCGACAAGCACCGTGATGAGCACCAGCGCGACATAGTACCCTATTCCACCAACAACCCATCAGCACTCCTTCTTCGCCGGCGAAATAACGCGACGCACATATCCACTCCCTGCGTATCCAGAACCGCCAGTTGCGCAGCTTCGCCCAGTCAAACGCGCCCGACTTTGCGAGCTCCTCCGCCTCGCTGGGCGTCGGGCTCGGCGTGCGGGCGAGCGCGCGGCCCATCTCCATCTGCTTCATCTGATTCGCGTCAGCGTCGGGATACGCATTGTACAAGTCGAGCGTGCTGTTGTTGTCGTTGGGGGCGGGGGGGTAGGGGTATCGTTGCGGTTGGGGGGCGCCGTATGCCGGATACGGGGCGGCCATGCGATGCGGGAACACGATGCTGCGATCGCGTTCAGTCGAGTCGAGTTGAGTATACGGATCCTAGTTTACAGGCAGAGGAGAGACCAGGCTTGCTGGCGGGTCGTTGCTGGAGGGAAGGCGAAGGCGAACGCGGGTGGCGCAGGCGGTGCGCTTCCTGTCGTTGCCAAGTTCGTCTGGGGCCCATGCGGGACCTCGGGCTCCCACGCCTTCCCGTGGCGCATCAAATTCACTGCGCCTCTTTGATTTCCGGCCAGTTTCGAAACACTGCACCTGCAGCCATTTCCAAGACGCTAGGCTGTAAACCGTCACCATCAACGCTGCGACTACGCACTGTGTCCATTCCCGCTCGCCGCGCGGAGGAATCAGCCCGTCCGGGTGCAGATTCCAGCGATATCTGTCATTCTCAGAGTCCCAGCTTACTGCGCACCGGAGGGCCCGCGCGCATCTGACACCCCACCTGCTCCGCGCACGTATCCTCACGGCCAAGCTTCCCCATCCTACAGTGTATGTCACTAAGAGTCGGCACCTCTGTGGCACCTTAATTATGCCGCCGTAGGCGGTGAGAAAAACATTTGAAACATAAACCTGGCCAAAAGACGCGATCCTGCATCACCTGACCCTCCCAAAGAACAAGGCTTATAAGAGTGGACGATCGAGCAGCGCGTCCACTCTTATATGACTCAAAATGTGTTTCTCCTAACTCCGGCGGAAGCACCGGGAACACCAGCGGCCTTGTAGGATATAGAGTAGGGAGCCTCCAGGAGACTCCGGCGGTAGCACCGGCCCCAGCGGTAGCATCACGTCGTGGACCAGTGGACGAAAATAGACAGCTGCCTAAAAGGGATTGATGGCGCCCTCCGCCGTAATGACATCATATTGCCGCCGCGCCCGATGCTGGTCGTTGTTGTTCCCGACGACGTCGGCAATAGGTAGCGTATAGTTCCTCAAATAAAATCGTATAAAATGCAATAAATTCTAGATATAATCTACAGCTTAGAGTATGTATGCTGGTGATACAAATAAGGTATGCATATGACACAGTCCCTTGGTATCTATGTGTGCCAGGGGTATACATCCTGGAAAAAGGGAAATTTTCGATTTAGAGCTAGCCCTGAGAGGAAATAAAGCATGTATGTCAGTTAGCCATGT